AATTTTAAGAAAATAAATTACAATGAGACCAGAGAGTAACAATAGGAAACCAAGAGAAGACGTCTACAGTGAGCATATTCAAATAAAGTAGATACGAAGAGAAACTGCATTTCTATGAATCTCTTGAGATAACATTGTTAGGGGGACTTTCGTTTCGTATGAAAGTGAATGAAGAAGAGATTCGATGGTCGAGCTCACCAGATGAGGACAGATGAATCTCGTTGTACCTCAGCCGTTTGGCTTTTATACGATATTCATGTTGACGCAGTCCACGAGACCTCGTCCCTCGTTTCGGGTGAAAACGTGCTAAGCTTTCACATTTAGGGTTAACAAACAATATAATGTGATAGATGAGTGCGAGAAACGGCAGTGGCCATTTATACTTGGCCATTAGTAGATAAGTTTGTTCATAGACATGGTCCATGAAATAAAGACTTGACCCCGAGATTTACTCGGCGCACACGCAGCACAGCGATAAGGGCATCTGCATCGCCAAGTTTAGGTTGCCATGCCAACTGAGAATCCAGACTTTAGGGGCCTGCACAATAAGGCTGGCAAGGCTCACTGACGAGGCCGATTATGACGCCGGCGAAACGTCTGGGAATGTACCAAGTCCACGGTCCGACTCTGGAAATTATCATACTTACTATGGGCTTCGGACAAGGTCCTCCAGCCAATATGACCAAGTCGCGAAAACAAGGTCAAACAACTTTTATACCCATAGGAAGTTATAAACGACCTAAGAACTCTCTTGATTCCTGGAATTTTCACTGTGTGGTAAGCTTTGTTTGTAAAATTTCGTGTGCTCTGAAAGAACATGGTTGTTTATCAAGCTTGTTTATTAATGAACTCACAAGAAATGTTAGATTATGACTTTTTATTGGCCGAAATTATAAATAAGCTATTTATTTGGATTCGTTTTGTCGTTGCCCATCGAAATTATTGCAATTTTAGGTATAAAAATTAAAGAATCTACTTGGTAGTTTACTGATAATAGCCATGAAGACAGGACTTTCTGCACCTGGTGGAACGGATGAGAAACTTTGTGTGAGAAAAAATCCATTTGCATGTAAGACATAAGCACATACTTTTAGTTATTTAATTAAGTCTACATTCCTTTGTCTACTATATTTCAAGTCAATCAAACTTCCACACTTTCATGGGCATAAATCAGACAAGAATTATTGAGGGCTATAGTAAGAAAAACCTGGTTACATTTATTTGGTTCCAAGTATTAATATTTGAAAAATTTTAAATTTGCAGAATTTGCAGATTTATTTTGCTAGATCGGATATTACCTGAAATTTTTACCAAGTATACAAATTAAAAACTTCCAAAATGGCAGATAATTTGGATTTAATAGAGCCTCTGCAACTAAAGCATCAATACCGATAGTCGAAAAGCGTGTTATTTCCTAAAATGATTCTAGATGAGCTTATTCTAAATAGAGAAAATGTGAGGGCGGTGGAAGATTAATAGTTAAATTCCGGTCAAGTCAGCCATCTAGTCATGATTCTCTGTAGATCGAGTCTCTTTTCCATAATACATAAATAGGCAAGACTTATTCAAGTGGCTTGACCTATTTGTCGAAACTTGGTCTTATTGTCAGGGCGACTTAGTAGAACGGACCTAGTCCAAAGTCGTCTGCCATAGTAGTTGTCATGATTACCAGCATCAGACAGTGGACTTGGTACATTCTCAAACGTATTGCCTGCATCGTAGTCTGCATCATAGTCGGCATCATCAGTGAGTAATGCCATTCTCCTCACCAAGCTACGAACTAGTCAGAGACAAGTGAAGTCAATCCCTTGACAAACGTTCTGCTGAAAACAGTTACACTATCACTCCTCTTCTTGTCATAGCCTATCTATCTACTCTTTACCCTCTCACCAAACTCTCGCCATATCACGTCGCACTTGTTTACATTCCACTCGTCAAAATGTGTGCCCTTTTGTGGCAAATCTAGTGTGGCCTCATCACACTTTCTATTCACCCCGACCCCCTCTCTTTCGATTAGCTAATCCGACTAGGGTCTTCATATCTTCGAAGACTTATTGAGCTTCGTTGGTAATAGAGTTTCGAGACTATCAGTAAATTAGATATATTATGGAACATATGAAGACCAAGATGGTGTGGCCTTTTGTGTGGTCGCATTCTCCTTTCGTTGTATAGAGGTTGTTTTACTTTGTTTTCGCAACATGGTCATATTGGTAGGAAGACTTAGAGGAGCGCAACTAGACCGGAGTCCACCGTATGCATAATAATCCAACGGATCCTGACACATTAAGAACCGAAACATAGGAGCAGATTGGCTGGTATACGGAAAAAATTACAAAAGAATGATCAACTAGTTCTTCAGGCGGATAAGGGGGGTGCAACGATTGTAATGGACAGGAAACATTATACCGAGAAAATGAAGAATATGCTAAAAGAAATGCATAATAATGGGGAAATTAATAGATAGACAATGAAATCTTTAATCAAAATTGGCGCAAGAGCACCGACAAGCATGGAGCGATACACAAACTAGCGAAATTCATTTGCTTGAAGCTCGAGAAAGTCAATGTCAGACTCTCAAATATCGTTAAGAATTCATATGAATTTTCTCAAAAGATCCAGAAATACGGATAGAAACAGGATAGATGCTGCGGAGGGTGAAGCTAGTTGACTGACAGAGTCCTGTTTTACCAGAGACATGGTCCATGTAGCTAAGGCTTGACCATGAGACTTACTCAGATTTTTTAGCCTCGAATTAGTCACTCAGACGCAGAGTGTGAGAAATACCGCCTCGAGTAGCACAGATGGGGTGGCGGAGGTCGAGTGAAATACTTGAATTAGGGCGTTAGCTGATGGATTCTACGGAGAAAGAGGGAGACTCTGATAAGACCTAAGGAAGGAGGACTGCGTAACAATATGACAGACAAGGGGCTGTGGAAGATTTTTGTTTTCAGATTGGGGTAATAGTTCTTATTGTGTGGAGGTTTTTGTTGTTTTGGCTTTATTGTTTACAACAAAGATACCGTTGGCCCCATTTTATACGTGGTTGCCAATTGTTCATGCTGAAGCTAGTACACTAGTATCTGTGTGCTTGAGTGGTTATATTATGAAGTTAGGGGT